AGCTTAGTAGGAAACCCAAAGAAGTAATTACTTGTGAGGGAACTAAAACTGACTTATCCGGATGTACGTAAAACCCTACTTTAATAAATAAGAAGATGGTATTTAGAATATTCCGAACACATGAAGCATATGTGTCAGCCAAGTATCACCAAGTATCAGCCAAGTATCATCAATAAATCCAACCGAAATATGTCCTTTTTGACGTAAATTTGAAAAAACAGGTTTGAGGAGTTTTGTAAATTTTCTTGGGCAGATGGCTAGGCTGTTAGGAAAACAGACAAATTTATATAGTTGCCCTCTACACCAAAATTTGAGGAATTTTTGATATGCTGGATGAATAGGTACGGAATAGTAAGCATCTTTGAGATCTATGGATGCCATGAAACAATTTGGTTTCATAAGCCTAATAGCTGACCAAACACACTCCATTTTAAAATGGTGATATCTGACATGCCTGTTTAAGGATTTTGGATTAAGAATCATGCGAAAAGAACCGTCTTTTTTGGGACAAGTGAAAATTGGAGATACAAATTCCCTGATTCAGGATGAGAAATCTGCAAAACGTCTTTTTTTCGTAATTTGCTAATTTCTAAATCAATATTGTTAATTTCAACCTCGGGTAGCTGTATTTGCTTGGGTAAGGCTCTTTATATCGGAATTGTTGAATAAGCAAAGACGTTTGGTTATTCTGAGTAATTTAAAGTTCTCTGGTACCGCTGGTAATGGTTTTTAAAATGTGAAACAACCGATAATAAAGTCTTTAAAGACAGGCCATGCGCACGAAATATTCTCATCGTAAAACAATTTTTCACACTGAGGTAAAAACATGGCCTGTGTTTTCATAAGCTTTCAGGACAATTTGGGCAAGCGCTTGCCCACAAGAGATCTTTAAAACTTCGATTTTTGCGTTTATGCCTTTTAAAGGGTTGTTTACTTGATCCCGGCTAACCGGGATTCAGCAAGGCCTGTAATGATTTTGGGTCATTGGAAGTAGTCCAAACTTCGAGCGTTAAACTTACAACATTTTCTTAAGCGTCATAAGTCATTTTAGTAGTAGTTAGGAACTCTAACGTTTGTATTAAAGGGCTAGAAAAGAAACATTTGGACTTAATCCCAAACAGGAGCACAGGGTATCTTTGGAGCAACGTACGGAAATCGAATTCCAAAATGGATTACCCATCTACATGCTGACCAGTTATGATTCAGCCTGATAAAGAATCACCAGAAACACTTACAGTCTGTCTCTAGAACACAAGCTTAGAGAGAACATAAGCCCATTGGCTCACCTTCTTGTGAAAACGTATGACGAATTTGATAAAATAACACCGGTGACCGGTCGACCTGACCATCTAAATCATGAGCAAACAAAGAAAAATCTGGAAAAAGCCTCATCAGAAACCAAGGTGTTGGAGAAATCTGATTAAACACACCTACTATATAAAATGAAAGGATGAATGACGATTTCTTTAAGCCAAATCATGCATGAGGAAGATATAAGTGTAGATGCATGAGTTGCTAAGGACAATATAAATCACCTGCTCAACAAGCAATCCGAGTATTGAGAAAACGTCCAACCTGAATGCACCTTCTTCCAAAACTATGAGATTTATTTCAACAATATGTTGTATGGGAATAGGCTTCCGATAAAACGCTTAAAACACAAACTTTTGAATTAGTACAAAGCAACTGTTTTAAATAGCCTAAATCACAGTGAACCCTGAAATATAGCCACAGATGAAACCACATCAAAGTTCAGCCAATCTTCATTGATAAGTTAAGGTCATTTGATATAATTAAAAGCAAAAACTAAATGAACCATCAACTAAATCTTTCTTACAAACGTAAATCTCCGTCGCCTTAGTACACAAATCCATGTTCATGTTGAGCATTATACTGCAGAATTCTAGCACCATAGGCACTTTGAACAAATTTTCAAGACGACGGGAAATATGTGTTCTACCAAACTGACCCAACTCTATTCTAACTATGCAAAAGTTTGTCTTGTAAGTGACACAAAGGAAACAAATCCTTCACAGTGCCTATAGAGAAAAATCAAATAATCTAAATATAATGGAAAGTGCCTAGAGGACTATTTTTAACATCGTAGAAATGGATCATATTTGTCGACGATCATTTCCTCGAGATGAAATAAAATTGGCGAAAATCAGCTTGTAAGATTAGTTTAATTGAGACCGTCACCACTTCGTTAGATAAATATGGAACATAGAAACAAAGCTATATCACTTCAAAAACAAAGAAAATAACCTAAGAAATTTCATTTTCATGGAAGTACAAGAGTAAAATGTCATGACGGGAGAAACAAAACAGTCGATGGCATAAACATTAAGCTTAGGTTTACGGGTAATTGCTTATCGCACACTGTTAAAAAATAATCATTTATATCTCTCTTGGTCATCTACACTAATCAATTAACAATTTTGTAAAAAAGTAATTGTTCTTTCACATTTTTTCATGTTCTTCGCATTTTCTCGTTTTTACATTTTAAAGCATATCGAAAGCGTTTTCAAACATCACGAGCATTGTTTTTCATTTTTTCTTAATCTAGAGTTTGCCAGACCCAAAATTTTACATTGAAAACGACGCAGACGCATTCTTACATTTCTTAAGGATAAGAAAACAATTGATTGCCATCGTAACGTTGTATCTCAAAGCTGCCGAAATCTCTTGGTCGCGTTTGAAATATGATGGATCAAACTATCAGTTACAACACAAAGTTGTTTAACAACACTAACCATTCATTGCCTGAAAGGAAAAATCACAAGAAACAAGTTCAGTCGTCTGTCAGATCCTGATGACAGTTTAACCTATCAGATAAATGCTAGCAATAAGAAAGGATATGAGATTAAGAAGATTCAATAATAAAACCGGTCAGTCCATTTCGAAAATAGAAAAGAAAACTGAAATTTTATACAAACATTTGATATTAACCAAGGCAAATAAATGGCAACTTATGCGCGATTGTGCGGCAAGCAAACTCAGATTACAAGGTCAACTTTTAATTCAATAATCATTCAAAATATTTAACGTGATTTCTGTATCAAAGACCAGCTATCGAATTATCATATGTTATTTGTAGAGTAGGAGGAGGGGGTGATAAGCAAATGCGAGCACATTTTTGTCTACCCATTTGCTTCCAAAAAAGAAAACAAATTATTGAACAAGTGTTAAACAAATTTTAATTACACTCATCATCTCAAACCTAATTTACTAATCATTTGAATACACAACAAGTTAGACAGAATGCATAATAGTTTCATATTTAATAGTAATCGTCCATAAGACTGCCCATGAGAAATTATAATCAAGCCGACAGCTTTTAGTAATTTATAAAACTTAACTACTTAAGTTTAAAATGAACAATCTTGAAATTACTACCTCTTCAATATATTCATGTCCTAATTCTAACTATGCAAATTTTGTCTTGTAAGCGACACAAAGGGAAACAAATCTTCACAGTGCCTATAGAGAAAATCAAATAATCTAAATATACCGGAAAGTGCCCAGAGGACTATTTTAACATCGTGAAAATGGATCATATTTGTCGACGATCATTTCCTCGTGAGATGAAATAAAATTGGCGAAAATCAGTTTGTAAGATTAGTTTAATTGAGACCGTCACCACTTCGTTAGATAAATATGAAACATAGAAACAGCGCTATATCACTTCAAAAACAAAGCAAATAACCTAAGAAATTTCATTTTCATGGAAGCGCAAGAGTAAAATGTCATGACGGAGAAAACAAAACAGTCGATGGCATAAACATTAGCTTAGGTTTGCGGGTAATTCGCTTATCGTACACTGTTAAAATAGTCATTTAATCTCTTGGTCATCTACACTAATCAATAAACATTTGTGTAAAAAGTAATTGTTCTTCACATTTTTTCATGTTCTTCGCATTTTTCTCGTTTTCTTTTCATTTTTAAAGCATATCGAAAGCATTTTTCAAACATTTTTAAAGCATGTTTTCTTCTTCAACTCTAGAGCTAGACCCAAAATTTACATTGAAAACGACGCAGACGACTTCTCACTTGGTGAAGGAAAGAATTTGACGTTTACCTACAACGTTACGTCTTATCCTGCTGCCGATATCTTTTGGTGGCGTTTTAAATATGATGGATCCAACTATCAGTTACTAACACGCCCATGAACAACACTGCGAATATCATGACGGACAAGAAAAATTACAAGAAACAAGTTCGAAGTAAAGTCTGTCAGATTCCCTGATGACAGTTTATCTTATCAGATAAAGCAATGTAAAGGAAATGAGATTAAGAAGATTTCAATAAAAAACTAGGTCAGTCCTGTTTCATTTACAAAGAATATAAAACTGAAATTTTAGCGTAAAAACATTTGCATACAAACGAAAGGCAAATAAATGGCATTTGTACATTATGCGCCCTTGTGCAAGCAAAACTCAGATTAGAAGGTCAACTTTTAATTCAATAACGGTTTCGACATTCCAAAGAAAAATTACCAAAAAAACATAGCTATTTAGGTTGTTTTGAAATGTATCATACTCAAAGATTAAGCTTGAGTCATGCATAATATAAAGATCAGTTTTCGTTTTTACATTTATTTTTTCAGTTGTACCTGAAATTGACATTAAAGACACAAAAAGATTTTTAAAGAAAGGATTTTCGGTCCTAAACTGTACGTTGAAGAAGAAATTTGACCTACAAGAAGTAACCTTCAAATGGTACATGTGCCAATCTGATATCTGTCATGATCATAAGAACGATGGAATATATTTCATCAAACTATTCTTTAACAGTGAAGAAGAGGGCAGGTATCGCTGTACTGCCAACAATAGCGGTGAAATAGATACATCACCAATAATAACAGTTACAAATCCAAACCAAAACCAACAGGTAAGCCTTTCATTAATATCGACCGTTGAAATCTGTGCATCGGCACATTGTCTCACTTTATCTTCATTACGATTTCTGCATACATATATCAAAGCAATTGTGTTAAATTAATGCAAAATTATCAAGACTTTCATAAAATTTTACAGTTGAACGAAAACCATTTCAACAAAAGAGTATAAGTACTGAGCAAGGTAATTTTATACAGTAGCATCAAAACCTATAATTTAAATAAAATCTTTATTGCTCGCAAACAACTGTTGATACATTTAACCACATCGTAAGTGACTTTTATTTGTCAAGTTTCACATTTGTCAAGTGGCAATGGACAGAAGAAAAATGATGATGTTGGTCATACTATAGGCATCCTCACTCTTGTCATTTTGCTCATTACTCTTATGTATTGTACAAAAGGAAGAAAATTTACGGTGGTTTTATCTCCTTTCTTATCCTCCATTGCCTGACTACATTGAAAAGATTGATATGAATGGAGATACACGAGCAAATACAAAGTCTTCCATTCATACCAGAATGGAGTTTCAAGAGAAAGAATAAAATTCAGTAAGTTATTTTGAACTTAATTTTATCTCACACTATGTCTGCATTTAGTCACATGTCTTGTTTTCAATAACTAAAGTAATGGGCGTTGTTCTCATGAGCGACAACTTTTTAAATTTATCATGTGATATACTCACATCTTTGTTCTGTAATATTGATGTTTTATGCAGTAAATGAACTTGGGTCTGGTGAATTTGGGGTGGTTTGGCTTGCAGAAGCAATCGGTATCTCAGCATTTCGTCCAAGAGACATCCTGAGAGAGAAAGGAAGTCGAAGAAGATTTTCATTTTTTAACAGAATGGTCAAAAGAAACAGTTACGTGTACAGCAGAGAAGTTACAAAAGTTGCTGTGAAGAAAATCAAAGGTTTCGCTGTTATAAACATTTCCATGAAGATTATTATTCATAATTCTATGTTTCATTGCATGGTTTTAATGAAAAATATACGATTGAGCAAACAGATAAAAATTAATAAGTTTTTGAATACAAGCAGAAGGAATTTACTTTTTTCCAGGTGGCATTTTTATATACAATTTAAAGACTTTGTGTATACGATACCCTGCCTGCAAGTTAAAACCTAGTAAAACTATTATTTGAAATATTATCAGTCTTTATAATTATATGGCAAGTTGGGTTTTGCAAAAAAAAGGTCGGTTTTTCTTTTGTTGATCGTAAGCATATATCAACATTTAAGATTAATAACCTTGATAGCCAAGTCTCAGTTTTAATTTAATGATTTTCCTTAGATGATGGGATCGAAACAAACTCATTGATTTGCAGTCAGAGTTGAAAATATTGATTCATGTTGGCGAAAATGAAAACATTGTAAACATATTAGGAGCTTGTACAAAAGGTTGTTTATATTTTAAAGGGTATTTGTTGAGCACTAATAACCATTCACACTTTTGAGGCTGATTATTGAACTAAACAATAATGGGAAAAATATACGTTCATTTCCTAAATGGAGTGAAGTTACGTAATTTAAGTAAAGAATTATGATTGAAAATGAAAAGTCATGTTCACACATGAGAAAGTTCCTTCACATAATGGTTTAAAAATATCCCAACGAATAACGATGTGACGAAAAGAACTTAGAGAGTTGCCTTTTGGGAAACTACATGTATGTGCATCCACTGAGAAAGATTTTTGCTTAAATTATTTGATTATAGGTGAAAGAACAAGTTTGTGTATCATTACGGAGTTCTGTGAACACGGAAATCTTCGTCAATTTCTCCGTGACAGTCGAAACAGATACAATCAAGACAAGGAATACATGATGAACGATTTATCACTAGATTTTGGACCACAAAATCTGATTCAATGGGCGTATCATATATACAAGGCATGGAATTCTTAATATCCAGGAAGGTATAATAATATAAACCTACACCTGGGCAAGGAGGTATTGTAGGTATGATAGCTTTGTATGTATATATTGTGTTAATGATGGAGTAGAACGGACAAATAGCGATAGCTTAAAGGAAGAGAAAGAAATGAGCAAAATCACGAGAGATTTTGAACAAAGACGAACGTGCCAGTTTATATTTCTGGGTTCTTCAACTGTACAATTCTAAGCTTAAGATTTTCATTTGCAAGCATTAGCAAACTTAAAGATAAAGGCTCAATCGAAGTCAAGTTGTCGAATACTCGTTTAAAGATAGTTTTGTTCGTCTCTATGGGTGTTAAATAAGATTTTTGTTGCTTTGTTTGAAATTAGATGTACATAACGTACTGCGTGACCGTTGAAAATAAGACAACATAAAATAACTAACAAACACTACAGGTTTTCACTACAGAGTTCAACTGAAAGAGTTTACAGAGAATTTTATTTCAATATGACGAATTTCAAAATAAATTTGTTTTGTTAAACTAATAGATCATTCACTGACCTAGCTGCTCGTAACATTCTACTTGGTATAGGTTACATAGCCAAAGTTGGAGACTTTGGCTTGGCAAGAGATATTTACAAGTATCAAGTTTACACGAAGAACACACCGGTTAGTCATTTGAATCACTAGCTTTTGTGCGATCTTTTGGCATTATTCTTCAGTTCATGATAACAACCCTTGATGATAGGGATTACTTCCTTTGAAGTGGATGGCAATTGAGTCAATCAAGGATTCTGTTTACACGGAGAAGTCTGATATGTATGATTTGCTTATATAAAATGTCATATATTTTCACTTTTTTAAGTTTACTAACAATTCTACATAATTGATTTAGGTGGTCGTTTGGAGTAGTTTTATTTGAACTGTTTACCCTAGGTAAGCTTCTATAAACACGTAAGAGAAAAATAACGACAAATAGTAAAATTTAATAATGACTGATGATGGAAACTAGTGAAACTCTTAAGGGCGATTACAACTAAAACAAAAATTTGTATGCTGAGCGTACAAGAGGGGTAGCCTGGCGTACTTGTTTTCATCCCCTCATAAATAGGCTTGCCACAAAACAAAACAGTGGCGACGTCCTGAAGAAATTTCACAAATTTAAAAGATTAACTCAATGTTCAACGATTTATCTTTGAAACGTTTTGTGAGGAAGTCGTTCACTCACGAGAAATCGAACGCATGTTTACTTTCCTAAGTATTGAAAATATTGACAATACAATATTGTCAATATATAAATTAGAGCCAAACAGATCGTTTTTAAGAAACCCACAACCGCTTAGTTGTATACTATTTATTTGAAAATCGTGGACTTTCTTCTTGATTCAAGACATCTTTAGATGAAAGAGATTATGATACTAGGATGTATATACAAAATGAGATTTAAAGCTAAATTTTAGATGTTTAAATGTTTGAAAAGGGCATGAGCGTGACTACCCACAAAATCATTCTCGGTTCAAATAAGTGTTGCTTGTACAACATGATTTAAACCTTCAAATGTCTTTCAGGTGGGACACCGTATCCCGGCTTACATGTCAGTGAAGTATATGCCCATTTGCTTAACGGAAATCGAATGGTGCCACCCATCAACTGTCCTGACATCATGTAAGAAAATATTTAATACATCATTCGTCAGTCTTTCACAATATTTCAAAGATATAATGAAAAACTATGGTCCATGCGTCAATAAAGCAATTTTGTTGCTAAGTATACAATTATTTACAATTACATTTACAATTACATTTAACAATTACATTACGATTCGACATTTCTATGTGGTAATAGTTGATGAGGGCGAAGCCCCAATCATTTTTCGCATCATAGAAATTGAGAGAGTACTCTAAATGTTTTAGTAGAGTCATAATAGTATTCATAAACAAAAGTGAAGGTAGTAATAGTTCTTTAACATTTTACACATTTCTATTGTTACATATTGTTTATACCAAAAAGCGAGGACCCTTGCTCAATACATGGTTAGTTATTTTAATTTTATTTTATTTTAATTTTATCTTAGCGTTCTATTAAGTGGCAACTTAGTCGTATCTAGAATTACTTTCTTAAGTAAACGCACACCAAGGTCGGCAGCCAGATTTTTCTACTCGCATCAATTTCTGCTACTCGCATCAATTTTCAATTGTGAGTAGCAAGACAATCAAATTAAAGTATTTGCTATAGAGTACTATTATGATTTTATATATATTCAGTGTTCTAAAGAGGAGGTAATCTGACTTCAATCAGCTGGTGTGCATAAATTACTAAATAATTTAACGTGATTTCTTCATATCAGGAAAGACAAGTATTCCAGCTATCGAATATCATGTTATTTGTAGAGTATAGAGGGAGGGGGGTGATAAGCAAATGCGAGCACGTTTTAAAATCTACCTCGTATTTTATTTAAAAGAAACACCATAAACAACTTTAATATTAATACACTCATCATCCTCTCAAACCTAATTACACACAATCATTTGAAATGTTACAAACTTCTGCCAGTGCAGGCTGACTTGTTAGACAGAATGCAATAGTTTCATACGTTTAATAGTAACTACTCTCATAAGACTGTTCAAGAGAGAATTATAATCAAGCCGACAGCTTTAGTAATTTCTAACAACTTAACTACTTAAGTTTAACAATGAACAATCTTGAACATTAGCTACTCTTCATATGTCCTAATTTTACAGTTTTATTGTTAAGTGGTTTTTTAAGGTGTAGGGGTTGGGGGAGGGGTGGGAGGACTTTAAATATAGATTCTCGTGTCTAAGTCAAGATTATTATTCATACAAAAAATTCTTTTAAAGCATAATCGGTTAGATTCTGATGACGATGATAAATAGAACTGAAATAAAGTGGATATGAATGTGAATCAACTTTATATATTTGCAGTGCTGATTTGATGAAGAAATGTTGGATTGAAAATCCACAACTTCGTCCAACATTTCAAGAAGCGAAAAAAATGGTAGAAAAAAATGTCCCGACAATTTCATCCATTGAAAAAGTGAAGGTAAATTATGTGATACAACAACGAACTACATTAAAAAATGGTTGATGAAAGATAGCATTTAGTTTCTTCATGTAGCGTTCTACCATATGAATATCTTAGCAAAGATTTTAAAATCAGCTTCATAATGTGTATTACTGAAATGAATGCTGATGAATGCTGATGGTAATCTGTTACAAATTTTGATAAGGATATCCTATCACAACGATAAAATGTTTGAAACGTCAAAAGATGTGCTGAGTTAAGACTGCCTGTTAGAATTGTAATCTTAATCGGGTGACAGCTCGTGTTCAGGCGGGCGGTTGTTTATCAATAAGTTGTAGTTTGCACACGGAACCTTTACAACTTTTTGATCACAAACACTTTAATTTATCAAAAACGAGTGCCAAGTCCGTGTGTGATGATAACGAACCGCAGGCCGATGAAAAGAGCCTGAGAGTAACTAGATCAGCTCCTGCGCTTAGCGTGAAGTCGCGGTATGACTGGGCTAGAAAGGAATAAACTACACCTGCGATCGGAGCAACTAAAACAGAAGCAGTTGTTAGAGCGAGAGGCTCGTGTCGTTGAGCTAGAAATTGCAAACATAAATTTGAGTTGGAAGAGAAACAAGTGTTGTCAGAGCTTGCCGAAAGAAAAGAGCTGTTGGACATGGAAGCCAGGCTAGCGGAGGCTGAAGTTGACGAGCCTTTCGAAACTGACAGCGAGAAATGTTCTGAAGCAGGTTTTAATGAGATGCGTGAAGCAGAAGTACGCGAATTTCGAAGTGAGGGATTACGTGAAGCAGATAATTTCAAATATTACGATCGGTTATGTAAAGCCATGGTCGAGCTAAGAGAGTTTATGAATCGTTGTTTTGTGAAGAAATAAGTCGCAGTGAATTGCTTGAAAGAATAAGATGTCGATATGGGAAGCAACACAACATCTACGTTTCATCATCAAGTAATTCATGTACTGATAGTCAACGTAGCAATCTACGAGTTATGTTACATAATCCAAATTATGATGACTACATAACCTAAAAAGATTGGTATGAATATCAATAAGAGGCAAGTTGTACTAATACAAACATTCACCAGCAAGGTTTCTTAGGAACCCAATACAAAATACCCTTCCCAACCATGCGAGTCATCCTGTCACTAAAGATGAGCAGTCGTAAGCACAAGCTGAAACATACCATATTCCAACATTCCAAGACCATCAGAATCTAAATCTACAGGTGCTCAGACTGGTCATTGCAGAAAGACCAATAACATTAACATTCCAAACTTGGAGGGTCCTGAAGTAACGATACTTATCGGGACAGACGGAAGTAACTGGAAACTGGAAGAAAGGAGAGGTAGGGAATCATATGCGATAAGAACACCTTTAGGATGGTCGGTTGCTGGAATAATGAAGCGAATTACTCGTAATGAAATTAGTAGTTTCTGTGTTTGGATCGGTGACAAATATAAAATAAAAAAGGTTGATCAGATGTTCAATTTTCATTTCAGCCAATCACTATATGATGAAGAGCAAGCAATGTCTCAAGAAGATATAAAATCATACCAGATGATGGTCAATTCAGTTAAAGTTGTGAACAATCACTATCAACTCGATTTAACATTTCGAGAGAGAACGCCGTTTCCAGATAATCGACCTATGGTCAAAAGGAGAATGACGTCTCTCAAATTGTGCTTTAGAAAGGATAAGGGGCTACACAAAAAATACACATCAGGAATTAGCAAAAACTCAATTAAAGGTTATGCAGCCAAAGTCCCGGCTACGGTTAAAGGCTATACCTCGATTGGAGTCAACCGCTGCTGTAGTTGTTGCCAGACAACATCGAAAAATCCAAGAAGAGCTCGGCATAGATATTCATAAGGTCATATTTTGGACAGATTCAACATGCGTCCTTTAATACATCAAGAATGAAGCCAGCCGTTTTAAGAGTTTCATGGTTAATACAATCGGAACTATCCATGAGATATTAAGCCCTTCACAATGACGTTACCTGACTAGCGAGGTAAACCCAACAGATTATGCATCAGGAGGTCTCAGTCCCAGTGAAGATGTAAAGGTCAAGCACTGGATACATGGACCAAGATTTCTTTATGAGAACGAAATAAGATGACCTGAGTCGTCAAAATCCACTTCTAAACACCAAGAGCAATTGAAGTGGAAGAGATCGGCCGAACTATTCGAAGCCATTGTAAGCAAGGCTCAACCATTAGATTAGTTCATTCAGCACTTCTTGTAGTGGAATCATCTTTTGTTTTGTACAGCATGGCTAATTCGCTTCATGCACTACCAACGATTTCTTGTTTTTAAAAAATGTGATAAAAGAAGATCTCACACATTCCGGTGGTTTAGTTAATGGGGCCGGAGCTGCACGTCTTACTGTCGTAGAAATGGAGTAGGCTAAAGTAATCCTCTTGCGACATGTCCAACCACAGTATTTTCCACAGGAAGTGAAGAATTTCCAATGTTTGTCTAGAGTTATCTTAATCGCGTTGCTGCTCTTCAAAGGAAATGATGGCTTTTGAGAGTGGTGGTAGATCAGAAAAATTGGATCTTCACTTCAACGCAAAGCTCACCCTATCATCGCTTCAAAGAAACATCGTATTGTGGACTGCACTATCAAACATGTCCATGAGAAAAACAGGCACATGGGGGTTCGAGTTGTTCTCGCTGCAGTTCAAAAAAATTTAGGATAATCAAAGGCAGTTTGAGGATTCGTTGGATTGTCTCTTAAGCCATTGCCGCACACATTACTCTTGATAGAAGATCTTCCGAGCACGTCTGTGGATTCTGAGTACACATTTTCAGCGACGGGAGTCGATTATTTTGTTCCGTTGGTGGTAAAGCAGGGCAGTAGTCACTTGAAAAGACAGTGCGATTATCCGTTCTAGAAATAAGAGCTGTTCACATTAAAGTTTCAAATACCCTATACTGAGTCGTTCCTTTGTTCCTTTACTCGATTTTACAGCACGAAGAGTTTCTCCAAAAGACATACATAACGACGACAGGACTAATTTTGTTGGATCAAATGCAATCTTGAAAGAGGAGTTTGAGAAATTAAGATGTGAAGAGTCACAAAGAAGATTTGTAAGCGGTTGTGCAGGAGAAGACGACCAGGCATTTTAATCCGCCAATAGCAAGCCACACAGGTGGAGTTTGGGACAATATGATATGATCAATCCGTAAGATTCTGACGGCGTTAGTCAGTGAGCAGACAATTGACAACGGCACTTTAAGAACGTTCCTAACTGAAGTAGAAAGAATTATCCACGATCGACCTCTTCTTCACTATTGTGGCACAGGCCTTGATGAGTCAGATGCTTTGAAGCCTAGTAAGCTGTTGTTGTTGTGTTCCAATACGCGTGCTGCACCTAAAGTGTTTGTGGATGGCGATCATTGCAGCCGGTTTTAGACAAGTACAGCTGTTAGCTAATGCACTTTGAAAGCGTTGGATTGCTGAGTACATTCCGATACTCCATAAAAGACGGAGGTGACTGGCAAGTAGGTAACTTAAAACTCAATGATCTCGTCCTGATAGTAGATAAAGATTATTCACTAGAACGTTGGCCGATGGCTATAGTGACAGAGGTGAACCCAGATGAAAATAGAATAGTACGACGAGTAACGTTACGAACCATAAATGCAACCTATCGTAGAAGTATTCACCAACTATGTCTCTTGGAGGAAGGCGAAAAATTCGGGGGTGAAATGTAAAGATGTTTGTCTTATCGAGTTTTGTTAGTGCTATAAGTACAGATATTTATGGTAACGATCTTATTCGATTGGCGCCTGTGTTAGATCTGTTGCCTCAATCGGGTGGCCGCCGTGTCCAGACGCTTTTTAAGTGTGGTTAATGTCATCAATTTGGCAAATTACTTGCATTTGAGTCCTACCTACCGAAGATCATTTTTGGAAATGAAAAATGGTTGCTTTGTAGGACGAGAGATGGCAAGATGATTTGGGAAACAACTTGTGTTTTCCCAATGGTAGACAACTTTAAATATCATTAATGAAAGAAACACAATGAAACGCTTGCGCTGATTGGTGCATTGCTGAGTTTGCAATGACCTGTGCAAACCGATATGAGCTTGATCAAACAAATTAATTAAGTAATTAATCGAATAAATGTTAAAGGAAAAATTAAAACATTTGTTTTAAATTATCTGTTTCGTATTTTTGCTATTTTATAAAAGAAGTAGAAGATGTCGTTTTTATGTTTCCATTGGCTCATCAAACCTTGCACTGATCTCGTTCTCCAAAACGTCTCCTAAATTTGAATGAGCGCAACACAGACCATTTACTTCAAATGCTTAAAAAATAATTATTTTTTATGATTCTAGGATTTGGAAAATTATGAACAAAATCAGAACATATCGACAAAAATGTCGCAGTCAGAAGCAGAAATTAAATTATTAAAGAAAATGAAGAGATTCCAATGGCTTAACCAATGGTTCAAACCTTGACTTCACATTCATAAAAATTGAGCTTAGATCTATGACAAATTCAATATATTGACTTATATAGCCTGGATGGTATTCACAATGTATTTCAAAGAATGAGCATATTTTAACGCTGTGTGTCCACACTTGTAAAATAAGAAGATATATTTGAAATCAAGTCTTTATCCAAGCACTTTTTGCTTTTCAATTGGAAAACTTTGCAGAAATGTAGAAGTTTTATTTAAATTGTTGTGTACTTTTGATTAGAACCAAGGGCAGAAGAATGTACTGGGCTGCTCACCAATAATATAAAATGGGGGTGCTAAGCCCCCCAACAAATATTCCATTGTAACAAAGAGCTTTTCAATATTCTTCACAAACCAGTCCTTGTTTGACAGGGGAATACATATTAGATTCTCTCATACTGTCTTTCTCTCTCATAGAGAATGAAGTATTTAATGGACAGTATTTAATTTTCCTGAATCTCTGACTAAAATTTTGCTCAGAGGATAAGAATGACCCTACCAACGCTTTTTCAATTCAGCCCCACACAAAACCAAAATCATCTACTGCCAATGTCTGGAACACTATATCCGGTCAATAACCAAGTGGTTATACCAAGTTATAAATATTCTGCTAATTATAACATGTTGCAATGAAAAGTAAAGCCTCAATTACATAAGAGAAGTCAAAAGACAATATTCTGGTTTCTTTGAGAGGGCCCTAAATTTTGTCAAACATATTACAATTGAAAACATGATAACAAAAATTCATAACAGTATTTAAATGTTTACTTTACTGAAACTAAAATGACAGCACAATATATTCATAACACAAAGAATAAGTCCACTGAACTTCAGTGACTGAACATCAAACAATCTCATTTATAAAATCAAAGACTTCAGTGACAGTAAATAATTTCCATTTGCTTCACACTGAAGACCATTTAGAAAAATGCAATTATGCATTTCAACCCATGTACACTTTTAGACAAACACGGTGCATGTGTCGGAGTTGTGTGTTGTTTGATTTTTAGTATTTTTATTGAAATGTATTTACAACAGAAATACCAGCAGCAGCTGAATATGACACTGTATCTACTTCATTTACCAGACACAATCTTAAGTTCATAACGTTTTGGGTAAAACAAACATGATAGAGAGCTTGAAACTAGTGTCAAATCCTAAATCTGGGAGAAAAGCTCGAATTTAGATCCATATAGCATTTGGGTTGAATAAAAATTTTTAATATTTACAACTAAAATGATTTAATGGTCATGCACCAGCACTTATGAAAACCAATTTTGAAAAATGAACAAATGTGGCAATGTCATTTCACCAGATAGGAAAACACATGGGATGAAAAATAAAATTTGAGCCTCATCATCCCTAATTTCAGAACAATTAACAATTTTGTTTACATTAGGTGGAGATATATATCCATCCTCCTGAACACACTTGTTATATTTCGCTGTAATGAGAGTTGAGATCCATAACAGCCAAGTCTGAAATTCCGTCAATATTTGTACATTTACAACTTTACCAGGAACCACAAGACTTTAAACTATATTGTGTCTAGTTTTGAGGCAATGAAGTGTCTTTATTTTAGACATTTTGTACCTGTGCTTTCTGCCATATTTGCTTTTAGTGTCGTTCGCTTTTCTCTCGTTCACTCTGTTCAATAAATTTCGCTGTTTGAATTTATTCCTTCTACCATGATGGCAGTAATACTTTGTAAACTCCTAATCGTAAAATGAACACATTCAAAGCTGCTTAAAAAGGAAAACTTCCGCGTGCGCCTTTAAGATCGACGCCTAAGGACAAAATGCTAATTAATTAAATGATTATGAAATAACGCGCGAATTCCAAGATGTCAGATTAGTCACGGAGGCCGTGAGATTACATGAAGGGGTATTTTGGTATTAATTTTCACGAAGCGTTTCTTGCTGAAATATAAAATACAGTCAAAATTAAGCAGTCCTGCATTAAGTTGACACCTGTATCAAACGGACACTTTAGGCTTCCGCAAAACTCCAAAGTTCATAGTGTTATAGAGAATAATGAAGTAATCAATGGTGCCCAAACCACTAACACACCAGTGTGGATACCACTAACCACAATTATGAAAATGGATGAAATGCTTTTCTTGATGATAACATAAAACATCCCAATATAAAAATGCTGGACGGCGTCTCATTCCCCCATACTTCGCCAGTTGATACCACAACCCACGTTCGAGGAAATTTTAGTATTCATATTGTACTGGAACACAAATTCTTTCATTCAATGAAAAGTATCATTTATATTACCTTACATGAAGTAAATTTTGATGAAATCTTAAAATCTTTCAGCAATCACTTTTTTAAAATCACGCCATACAAAATGATGTTTGCGATAATGCACATTAATTGTTTTCGTGTCCAGAATTTAATAACTTTTTTCAGCCCCGTATATTTTGGTTTAGTTCGGGCTGCACTCTCAACAATATTTACCACTTTAGGTAGTATATTGTAGAATAGCTCTCCCAGCATACAAATAAAAATTTTTTACAGAGTTTTATGCGAATTATAGAGTGCAGCATTTACAAAATCTAAGCTATAAAATGATATATGACAAAACTGTTTACTGTTTCCTTTCAATCTTTCCACGTAAAATTCACTAAAAAGAATTAAAAAATGTATCAATAAAATATAACACACATAATAATGATCATAAACTTAAAATTTGTATTGTCGTTTTATTAAATATTACTGCGTCAATTCTTTTTATGTTTGTCGACATATTCATTTCACTACACACATATTCAAAGCTTGCTTTTCATCTCCAACAAAATTGTAAAACGAAAGTTTTTTTTATTTTACGTATAATTTTACACATTAATGAATGCCAGTTTCATGTTGAAAGTGCACACGCGGTGACGTTAAAGTGTCGTGTCCAGAAGGTGCGATGATGATCAAATAATATCTATATGCCATATGTTTTTTAAAGATAAACTTTATGGAATCAAAAAGGCATTATTCAAGTGGATACATCATTGTTTGGTTGCATAGGAGGCATACAGCACGCAAAATAAAGGAAGTGTCGAAAAAGCTGTAAGTTTTGGATTGCTGTTGCGGTAGATCAGGTAGACTTAAGTTCGACATGAAGTAACTTGACATGTTGTTTAAACTTCGTATAACACATGATTAAAGAGAGGAGCTATCAGCTATCAGACTGTTTTATTTTATTTTTACTCATAAAAGATCAGTTGATTTTTATGTTTAGCAATTTTTGTAGTTGTATCTTAAAAGTGTTTTACCAAATGAATACAAGATAAAACTTGGAAACAGGACAATATTGACTGATATTTCAATACCTGTCCTTGTCCATGAAAACTGTATTGAATGAGTCACATTTAGACAGGGGCCAGGTATAGTAAAGTAGAGTTGACACATGAACTTCATGAACTTTTTTCTTTTACGTTGCTGTAATTTTTTTTTCATAAATTGTTTTAATATCAAATTTAACATGAATTTCTCCTTGATTTTTCGATCTAGATTGTTTCTCTTTTATCGGTCTTGTTATTTTATTGTACGAGCATTTTCTCGACTAAGAAATATTTAATGTAATTTATAAACATATCACAGCTTGTCTACATCACGCATGATTTTTTGTTTGTGAGCATAATCCAACTGAAGTGTGTTTGACAACTCATTATTTTAAATGTTCTTTTTAAAAAATCTAATTCCTTTTCCTCCAATACTTTACGCAATAAAAGCTTTTGTTTTCATTTTGAACTCAATGTTGAGTTGAAATATTTTGGAACTGGCTTAAAACTTAACATTCGCATCAGTAAGCGCCAGATATAATCGATTAACTGTGCATAATTTTAATCGTTCATATTTTAGTATTGCTCAAAAGTACTTTACGTTTATACAGCTGTGCATAGTGTAAACATCCATTTCAAAGTCTTCGAAAATAATGAAAGTATACGTCACACTGTGCCACTTAAAATACCCAAATGTTAAATATAATGGAAAACATATTCAGTTGAAAGACGTCAGAATAGTTTAGTGACTACATCAATTAAGTTTAATTTTGTCATGACGGTTTGAATAGCCATACTGTGTCTCATACAACGAGGCTTGTTCAAAGAAAACATAAATCTAAAGCAGTTGAAAAAGTCGAACTACTGTGTAGTGTGGTTTAGGAGCTTAAATTGCTTTCTTGGACAAGTTAACGAAAAGTTAGATTATAGCGCAATGTTTTCTGTCACCTTATAATAATAGCTTCGTCTTCGGTGATGTAGGTAAAACATTAATTGAGGGCGGGAGGAGGGGGTATATTCAAATATTCTATTTTTGCATTAACGATTGAGTTTTCTTTGTGACTTGCTTTTAAACACAACTCAACTTTGAAGCTTTTCAGCTCCATTAATTTCATGACAGTATGATTCACATTACCAAAATGATAGAAAAATTTTGCATAAACACGTTAATTTTTGAAAATGGTTTCAATCTAAATTATTACATAAAATCCATTGATCAATGAGAAACAGGATAGTGCACATTGGTTTTTCGAAAAGTCTTGCATACTGTAATTATTAGATTTGCTATTAGTCCAATATATTTTATAGGAATTTTCTGTGAATAAAACAGGTTAAGAACATCGATAAAGGCATTAAGGAGGAAAATATTTTTGTGATCATGTTGGTAGCGTTGCCAAACAGTGTTGCGTAACTTTTACCCCTTTGAGAATTACATAATGCATTGTTCTAGAGAATTTCAAAAAGTTAGATAACTTTTTCCAAAGTAATTTTAAGGAGATAATTATTATTTTCGCATGAATTTTCCAAAACTGATAACTAAAGATTGTCGCTTAAAAGACTTATCTTAGTGAGACGATTTATTTGTGACTAATTATTCGCTCTCAACATTAGTGAAACATGTTTTAATCAGTGGCTTATGATTAAAAATTTATTTATTCAATGTTGGTGGGTACCATATTTCTAGTTGAACCTGAAAGATGACGCCCGTGTGTGATATA